ATATACAGTAGCAATACTGCAACTTATATAAACATAACAACATTAACTATATATATATATATATATATATATATATATATATATATATGTATATATATATTATTCGGGGACGGGGCGGGGCGGGGAGGGGTATCCCCGTCCCCTACGGGGAATTACACATATTCCTCGTCCCTGTCCCCGATCCCCAAAAATTTTCCCCATTCCCGTCTTTTTCGGGATGGAGATCGGAGATCCCCGTCGGGGACGGGGCACATTGTCATCCCTAGATTTATCTAACAATTGAATGATGAAATATACTTATTTAATGAATTAAAACATAATATTAACGAATGCCATATATTAGTGGTTCGTACGTGGGTCATAATACTATTCCAATGTTTAGATCGATTAACCACTAGTTACCAAAACATCATGTATCCGATTGATCCTAATTTGAATAACCTAATTAATAATGTATATGTTGGATGCAGAAATATCACCATAATGTGAAAGAAAATTAGCACCAAACCATTTCCATTAAGCAAACCCAAATTAGCCACACAGTCACAAGTCTCAACCTTATGGGCCCCCACACCCCGACATGACAGAGCATTTGGGAGGAAAAAAAATAGATCATAGATGTACTCGATGGGGGTATAATTCTCACTAATTAAGTATTCAAATTTTATTGAATAGCTAATTTAATAACTTAAACGCCCTCTTAAAGTAGTCTATTGACTAGTTAAACCAGCTAAACTTAGTCAATAACCAAAATTGACTTACATGTTACCAAATAGGGCCAAATAAATATGAAAAGTCATGACACTTAATTTTTTTTTTTAATATTGGTACTTATTTTGATACCAAATATTATTATTTGTATCTTTTTTTTTTTTTTTTTTTCTGGGTATACCCCGGGTTTCCACCTTCGGACACAATGATTAATCCTCTCGTTGAATTGTAGCCATCTCTTTTGGGTGACACAGCTGGCCTGGTATATCTTATTATTAACACATAATATAATCGATTAATTGACATATGACCGATTAATAAATATGAAAAGTCATGACGCTTAACTCTTTTTCATGTTACAGCCACTCCTGTGGTAAGATCAAGTATGTTGGGCGTAGGTCAGTGAAAGACTAAGTCCAACACTAAGTGGTTAGGGGATTGTTGGGCTGAGGCCTGACACACATTGCTTCTCGTAAATGTGACAGTATAAGAAAATAAAGTTGCGTTTTCGCTATTAACTATAACTTTTGGTGTAGTGATTAGTGGTTGATTAAACCTTCAACAAGAGTGTTTTTGACATAATGGATGGTAAGGGTTTGATTCTAGGAGAGCATATTGTTGAACTCTTCAAGCTAGGACTCTGTTCAAACTTGGGTAATTTACTTGTTGACACTATTTCATAGTAAAGATTAGGTAGCGTGTGAGGAAAGGGGGGGATTAAGCGCAGCTGGGGACAAGAATAATTGCAGTGTTACTAAATAACGTGGAAAGATCCTCCCAAGACATGAAAGTATTAAGCCAACCCCCATATACTCAGACCACCCTTTCCTTACATATATATATATATATTTTATATACATATATAAACACAGTACAGTCCAGTCATGTATGTCACTTACTGCATGTGCTCCTCCACATGCATGTCACCTGCACGTGATGGTTTCTGCTATTCCATTATTTTAACCCTAATCTTACTTAATCAATCCTACCTTATTTCTGCTAGGATTTCATGAGTTTTATTTTACATCTATCTATCTTTCCATCTGATCTCCATTTCGATATGTATACATATCACAGAGATAAGAGAAAAGGGCCAATAAACACAAACACATGATCTGGCCCCTACATCTTGCTGGAGGGTTCTGTGTTGGTGTACATACATTGTACTTTGAAGTACACTGTTTTTTTTTTTTTTTTTTTTTTTTTTTTTTTTTTTTTAATTTATGCTTGAGTCGTCGGCGGATGGACTGAAATAGATCAGATAGAATATATATATATATATATATATATATATATATATATATATATATATATATATATATACATTTTTTTTCCTGATACACAAAGTTTCAATTTAGACTAGACTAATCTTATGGTCAGTTTGGAAAGTAGTAAAATGACTTGTAGAAAATGTTTTTCGAATTTGCAGTGTTTGGATGCAATAGGAAAATTCAGTCAATTGAAAACATTTTCCGTTTACAGGAGAAAATGAAGCCATTTTGGTAGGAAAATATTTTCTGAAATATGACTCATTTTTGAAATCATTTTTCTTGGACCCTTAAAATCCAAAATCCCGCCCAATAATAATTTGGAGAGGTGAATTGCCTATACACTCTATATACAAGGAGTTTTCATCACCTCTAATCAATCGATGTCTTCTAATAACTCTAGGTTTTAGATAGTAGAATTAAATATTGTTAAAGTAAAACTTTAGAGTGATCAATTAAATTAACTGAGTTGGCGTTGCGGGTCATCAGATAGAAAGTTAGCTACAGTTGAGAGAGTGCAGAGATAGGATATATAATATATGGTGTGCAGAGTGCAGGGCATATGATGGAGCATATATGTATGCATGCATGGAGGATATGATAGATGGATAGAGATTGACATAAGACAAACACAGCTAGCTAAATGCTTGTCCCATTGGTCGTACCATGGGCACGACCCAACCTGCGAACAAGGTTAAGGATCGTACGTATATATATGCATACCACCATGTTCTTCAATTATCTCTGTGCATTAATTCCCTCAATTTCTCCTACAACTGTAGCACTTAATTACGTGCCTACCTACAAGGTCATTGCCGGGTGGCACAGACCCATATGCTCTAATTTGGTAGGGTTGTATTACGACAAAAGTCAAAAGTTATAACCATTATTAAATGTACAATTTTATTTCTTTATGTTAAATGTTATAGTTAATAGTGAAGATACAGTTTTATTTTGTATATTTATCTAGCGAAGTGATAAGTTACGTTTCGATAGTAGGATGTTAGATTTGAGTTTCTGAACCACAATATAATTATTGATTTGGAGGTGTCTCAATTAAGTTTCATGCGGAGCAACTTTTTTAAAAGCATTACTCAAGATTTCAATAGTTAATTTAGGTAGCTAGCACCATGGCACACGGTTCTTTAGTTTTAAACTAAAGAATTATTATATATGTACTCAAAAATGAAGAATATAAATCTATGATTTTTAACATTTTTTTTCTTTTAAATTAGGATATAAAACAATAAAAATACAATAATAAATATAATGAGATTGAATACCCATAATGAATATGAAATATGCACATGTATCCATAAATGTACAGTATGTAGATTAAATTTGTGATTATTTTACTAGTATCTCTTTTTAACTAATATATATGGTAGAATTTATAACCATTGGTTGTAGCGTAAGTGCGTAACTAATCCCTAGGTTTTTTTTTTTTTTTTCACAAAGTGTCATGAGTATGCCCTAACGGACTAATTGACAAAGTGCAGGCCAGATTATTTAGTTATTTATTTTTTTATATGAAAGGGGGTTCAAATTCCGACCTCCGATCTCTTAAGGAACAAAAGTGCACGGTCACCCATGCCAACCAAATTGATTTTTGTATTAAAATTTTAAGAATTAATAATGCACTAACAGTATTAACATTATACATTTTGGTACTCACCGATTTTTTATTTTTTATTTTTTTAAAAAAACTGGTACTCACCGATAAACCTTATGTTTATGGAAAACAAGACTTAATTCTAATTTGTAAGTATAATAATATAAAGATACCGTGCCAACTACTATATTGTCCGATGATAATTTTATTACCATTCTAAATAAATAGTCATAGAATCAAACCTCGATAGTGGAGTATTGATTCTTTTGACTATATATAAACACTATTATTGTTTTTTCTTCTTTTTATTTTTTTGGTTGAAATTAATGGAGGGGAAACCTTGAGACAAAAACACCTATACAAAATCAGTAGTCATCACTTAGCTCCAGAAACTAGCTCCAACCTAAAACTCAATCATTCTTCCAAAGGTTGAACCCCAACCCTAAGGGCCCCCCACACCCCGATGGTAAACCTTTTGCCCACTGCGCACAAGGAACCCCCCACATTGCCGCTGATGAGACTCAATTCCAGGTTATTCTTCTAAACTTTCACCTTTATGGCCAGTTGAGCTGCCCATGCGAGTACCTAAAACTCAATCATTATTCTATGGATCATGGTCCATGAATAAAAGATATATTTTTTATGTACTGAATGTACATTATTTTATATATTATCAAATAATATAAATTTAGTACCTAAATAATATATATATATATATATATTTAATATATTAAAAATATATCTTTTTAATTACGATCCATAGAAAAATATGCCCGAAAATTGTACTTCAACCAGTTAATAATTCTTTTGAAATATTTATAATTGTTTACAATGTAGTATATGTTCTATACTTTCTCACACAATTTCAGCTCAAAGAAATTAAGTTCCCATCATCCAAGTTTGAACTTATGATCATTTATTTAACTGGGTAACTGGGATGCCATCAGATAATTGGTAAAAAAAAAAAGTGGAAAAAGAAGGTAAAAGAAAGAGAGTAGATATAGTTTTAATAGCGTATGGACCAAGTTGTAGACATGCATAGTTGATTCCGGGAGCAATCCATGTGCAAATTCCTCATCTTTCAAATTTCAAGACATGCCCAGTGCCCACCCTCCACCTCCGTGCATGGCCCATGCCCGATCGATGCTGCTTATTGCACTACCTCTACCTGCAACAACCCATCCTTCTTCTTTAAGTTGCATTTCGATCTATCATATCATTGCTTAACCCCACCACCTTATTGCCATTTTCACCTCTTTACTTTGTCAACAAGCGAATCAATTCCATTTCAGCTTTTCTCGTCTTCAATTCATGATTAATTACTAACAACCATAAGAGTACAATTGACAAAAGAGAAGAGAGTTGCTGAAATTTAGGTAGATAGATTGACGATGATGAGCAGATAGATCAGACACAAACTTTTTAATACTTTTATCTAAAGAAATGGTTTAATTCTGATGAACAAAAGCATTGCGCAATTCAAAATTCAAGTGACTTTTTTTTTTTTTTTTGGTTGGTTTCCCTCCTCGATAATTCAAATAAATCTAAGTCCGGTTCAATGGGGGAAAAAGGGTTGTTTAAAGGTAAAGGTGAAAACTAATGTTGCTGGGCAGACTAGATGATGTGCCTGAAATCAGGACAACCACTTTCTAGATGATGATGATGATGAAGCAAGTAATCTTCAGCACCGTTGGATATACCGAAAATCGAGGCTTGACTGATCAATGATTGATGCTGCTGTTGCTGCAGCTGGTGGTGTTGTCTCCGGAGATCCTTTTGCCGCCGGAGCTCCAGGACTTTCCGGTGGGAGTTGGAATGCCTATTTGACTCGAAAGTGGGGCTCGCCGCGGGTCGATACTCCGCCACGAGCCGACCCGACTTGTACCGGACCCCACAGGCATTGCAGAGTGTCTTCGGCCCCAACGGACCTGTACGCCACTGCGGAGTCTTTTCAGAAGCACAGTGCAGGCACTTCCTGCCTGGAGTTTCGCTGTTTTCTCTCCTTTTGCACGCCGCCGTTTTCGTCGCTCGGGGAATTGCGGTTGAGCAATTGCTGTCGGAGGATGACGTGGCAGGGGAGGAGAGGTGGAGGAGGCGGGAGGACCAGTCGCAAGGCGCAGTTCGGGAGCGTTTGCTTCGTGCTTTGCCGGGAACAGATACGTCGGAACGGAATGCCGGAGGTGAAACCTCGTCTTTGGGGGCAATATTGGTCACGGAGGAAAGAGTATCCGTTATGTTACTGGCGGCGGCCGCGGCGGCGGTGGAGGCAGTTTTAGTGGCGGAAATGAGGTGAAGGTTTTGAAGCTCGTCGCTTGAGAATGAGTCTTCAACGATGTTTGACAGCCATTCCAGCTCCGCCAAATCTTCATACTGTACACATACCAAACAAAAAAATAGATGAAATTTATTACCATTTCATCATCTCCAGGAAAATTTCTGAAGTAAAACCGGAGAATTTCCATATCAAGCATGAATTTCTAACGAATGTGTGAAATTTAAATCGTGTAATAATTAGACAAAATTGAGCGCGGAAATCGCGGCTATGAATAACAAAACAAACAAACAATACACACCGGAACGCAAATTTCGGACGGCGGAGGGAAAGGAGCGTCGGTGAAGCTGCGGCAACCAAGGTTACCGTTAAAATTACCGCCGCCGCCGGAGATAGAGGAGTTACAGCTGTCGACGCCGGTGACGGTGGAGGAGTCACCAGTAACACTGTCGAAGAAAGTGTCTGCCATGACCTCGTCCTCCACGGAGAAATTAAGCAGGTCATCAACAGGGAAATTATTGCTGTTATTCTCCATAGCCGCCGCCTTTCCTTCCAGCACATAACGGCTTTCCGAGGAGAATTCTGCCTCTCCGGCCGGCAGCAGATAACCGCCGTCGATGAACAATCCTCGCGCAGCCATTGCAGAAAAATGTGTCAGAAATAAGGAGAATGGAAAGGTGCTGTTTGGTTTCGGAGTGAGCGCTCTACCTGCAACTCTGCAAGTTATAATTCAATGAGGGTAAAGAAGGGCAATGCTCATATTAAGTAAAATATTATTATAATACTTTTTTTTTCTAATATTAAAAAAAAAAAAAAGGAATAATGAATACTGAATTTATTTAAACTTTAAAGAGTAATGTATAAAATGTCTTACTCTTACCTGAAACGTGTAATATTTTTCTGTATATTTTAACTAAACATATTTACGTTAGTAGTCTCCCACAATACTTATTCTTATGTAAAAAATATACATTTTATTTAGTAATGTTAAATTAAATAACACAAAAATATGTAGAAAGATAAAATTATCATTTTATACCACGTTTAAGGACATAGTACATTACAGCTAAACTTATATGTATAAAAAAACAAAGTTCATAATGATAGCAACATGTCACTCATGAAGAAGTTCACTTTTATCCTTTTACAGTATTCCATTAGGAATTTATGTTAACCAATTAAGAGACAACAAATTCCAAAAATTGTTACCTACCAAATTAAATATCCTTTTGGTTAAACTAGCTAATCATCCATTAAAACATACCATACACAGCTTTAATAACCTAACATGTCCATTCATGTTTACCAATTATACTTTCTATTTATAATTGTTGAGATAATATACTTTATCCATTAATTTTTTTTGAGTACTATTGACTCTATTACAAGGTAGTATATGTTCTATACTTTCTCTATCTATTGCAGACCAAATAGTCAATATCGTCCCACCCCATCACCGGGGTTCGATCATGTAACATTCCCTCAAGGAGAGCTACAGAGGTGTCAATATTCGATCATTTGAATTATTGATCAACCAATACGAGCACTCCTAACGACAAACATTGACCTTATATTCTTTGGGCATAGTATATATGGCCTTGACCTTGACACGGACTAAAATCTCTCGCGCTGATCAATTTGTTGACCATGTCAATTCCAATATTGAACCTCAAGTCGTCGGTTCTATGTTTGCTTCTTGGACTAGTACTTCACCCTTCATTGGGCTTATCTTCTTGGATTGCGTTCAATATCTCGATTAATATGTTCCACGAGACCATAATAAAAAAAATATAGCAAAATGTAAAGTAACAATGTTTACCAACTCAACCACTAATGAATTGGAACTTATCAGGCAAGCACCTTGTGCTTAGATGACACCTTTGTGACTCTCCTTGAGAGAAAGTCACAGGACAGAATCCCTTTGATGGGGTATTGACTCTTTAGACTACAGTAGTGAAAGTATAGAACACATACTACCTTATAATAGAGTTTAAATATGGCTTAATTTATATACTCAAATCACAAATCCCCATACTAATGTACTCAAATCACAAATCCCCATACTAATTGCCATTAACAAATGGATAACGTTTGTTTACCATTACGGACCACCAATCATTTCCCTCTTCTTTCCTTCCTCAACGTACAGCTCAAACTTCTGCTTAATTATTACAGATTACAGAAGAATAAATTAAAGGACTGTAAAAGTAAAGAGATGCTCTGAAGGAACATTATATTTTTTGCCCTAAACATTACACTATAATATAATCCTGTTAAATAAATTCATAAGCGGTTGAAGAAGCTTTTCAAAAATGGTGGTGGGCTCCGACGTAGCACGTGACGGAGTTGGGGGATATTGTCAGCCATCATGTGACACTTTCATACCTTCATGTTCACTTCTACCAGGTTCTGTACTCCAAAACAAAAAATAAAAATTAAACAACAAAAATGGGGTACCAATTTCAGCAATAACATTAGGTTTCATTTTTTTTTTTTTTTTGATAAATTAGATTTTCTAGCTAGATTAATTCTAATAGTTGCTTCAGTGTTGAGTGATAAATAAGAAATTAAATATTTTTAAAAAACATTATATAGCTTGAATTTAGATCTATGATTTTAATTGGCCTGGGTGTCAACTGGAGTAGACTACTTCAATGGGACTAAACGTGGTTGCACGTGTGAGAGACTCACGTTCGAGCCTGTAGCTTGCACGTGCCTCTTGGCATGCACTTAGTTTCTATTTCATCACTCATTTTATAAAATTTAAATTTTAATCCCTATTCATGCCTCAATTATTTTAATTCTTAATAATAAAAACTTGATTGTATTCTTTAATAACAACTTGATCGCACTTCCAAATGATTAAGCATCAATCACCACACTCTTTTTAAATTCCAAAATAAAAATATAAAGATAACTTTGAACCCCAATCTCTCACCGTTTATGTCATGAAGACTAGTGGATAAGATAAATTGCGCTTGAACCATGCACTTGCAGGCCAAATTCATACCGAATTTGAATCCTACACCTTACTGTTACTAATAAAACAAAGTTTATGAACTCATTATCACGAGCAAAGAGTTTGATTTTCTTTATGCCCATATCTCGATTTTCAGTAACTGATGTATTTTGGGTTGATTGATCAATTGAGGTGTAACTGGTCAATAAAGATGTTGGCACATTTGTGCACCAAATTATTGATTCAAATTGGTTAGAGGCTTAAGCAATATAATGGGTTTATTGACTGTAGTACCATATTTAGAAAATTTTTAAATGAAGTCAATAATTCAATATTATTTTTAAAGTATAGGAATATTGTTAATATTTTTTTTTTTTGAAGAAGGAATATTGTTAATATTAATTGTCTTAATAATAGATTTGTACATTGTTTTTAAAGTATTGTACATTGTATCATTTGTCATGAAATTCCCCTCCTGTAAAACATGATGACTGGTCTCAGCTGTCCATAATGGTTCATCAATAGTTGAGGACTTTAGTAAAAAATACAGGGTCAGTTTTATAATTATTGAAAACTTTTAAGAACGGGGTTCATTTTATAATTATTGCAAACTTGAAAATTTAGTAATGATAAGATCCTAACTTTTGATTTTTCAATATAGAGGGTGTGGATGTGTCCACACTTTTTACATGACAAGGTGTTCTTACTTTAACCCTCCCCCTATATACATAGCTACATAACATTTTTTTTTTTTTAAATAAAAAATGTATAAACTATTATTTTAGATTTATTTTAATATAATCATAATTTTAATATTGAGCACCAATCTTTTAGCTACTGAGATACATGAAGAATTTGCCAATATTAAAAAAATTTATTGCAAATCAACCAATCTTTCTTAATTCATGTCAATTCTTTTAAATATTGGATTGAAAATAAAAGAGGCGAAAAGCCCAAAGGATTGAAGTAAGAATACAATGTCGGGCCAGTCTAGTAAGGCCCAACCTACCACCAGAGAGAAAGTGGCCCAGACACTCACTCATCTGTAAGGTCCACACCACTGTGTAGATCATGGTTTAATTGTGTTTTTTTAAGTGTGTGTTGAAAATTTATTATTTTGATGTTAAAAAAATTTCTTATTTTGCGCGTGTTAAAATAATATACATTTTAGGATAAGATAATCTATTTTATGGGTTAGAATTATGTACTTTAATACATTTTGCATTGACTATTCATCATTATTATTTAAATGATAATTATGATTATATAATAATTACACATACTTTTATTAACAAATATTAATATCCTCAATAATCAATTACATTAAACTATACTTTACAATCAAAAGGATTTATATATAATCAGCACAATGTTATGATGATCATCCTAACATAAAACCATGCATAAATAAACTAGGTATGTACAAAATGTGTTAAAATTAATTATGAACTAAGTAGTAGGGTTGATGATGAATGCAGCAATTCTCTTTTTGATTTCCTCTGGATTAGCTCCCACAAGCTTATCCACCTCAACTCCATCCCTCATAAACATGAAGGTCGGCATGGCCTTGATTTCCATCTTAGCCGCTACCTCCTAATCATTAATTAAATTAGCACAAACATAACTATCCCATCTTCATTAACCCAATTAACTTTTATATATATAAAAGAAAAAACTCAGTTTTTAATTAAATATTATTTTTTGTTTGATATAGTGGTAAATAATTGAGTATTATTAATATCTTTTATTTGATCCATCAAGTTAAGCGGAGCTAGAACTCCCACGAGTAGCTTAGTTGATTTCTGAACGCATGGTTGATTGTGGCCAAATGCACAAGATTGAATCCGGATAGCTGCAGTGACCTAATGGGCTTCTAATGAGCAGTGTTGTAAAGATCGGCTTAGGTGGCCGCCTAGGCTGAGACGATTTCAGCCCTAGGCGACTTTTAGTCAGCCGACCAACTACTCGACTAGGCACCTTAGGCGTCGACTCGATCGAGTCGGTGCCTAACTCGGTCAAGTTGACACTCAACTCGGTTGAGTGTTTTTTTTTTGCCTACCCGGCTACTGCTCTTCTATATTTCTCCACCCATGTATTCAACTAACCCTATAATATATGCAGTTGACTACTTTGAGGGATTATAATAGTCTAACAAGTAACAACTCCTACCCTGAGTGGAAAAAGTGAAGAGAGTACACTCGAATTACTTGGGTGCCTAGGCACTAGGTGCCCCTGGGCGCCCAAGTAGCGCCTTCTACAACATTTCATATCAGATACCATTATCCCTCCACTATTCTGTTGGACACTTTTTGTGGACAAGTTAATTTAGCAAAGCTAGACAAAATATGAATCAAGAAAGTAGAAACATTAGTACCTTGACCTCATCTACATCCACAGAGAGAAAGAGGATGTTTTGGTAGCTCAAGGCTAGTTCTGCTAAAACAGGAGTCATGGCTACTGAAGGTATGCACCAAGAAGCTGTAAAATGTATCACAATCTGCACTCAAAATGAAGGGGAGAAAAGGATTTCTGATGATCAAGATAAGCCTTTCCTATCGAATTGAACATTGAACATTGATCAAAACAAACAAACAATAAATGAAAACTCAAAACACTTACTGGACGGGATTGATTTTTGGCATGATACAGAAAGGTATCCCAGGTTTGTTTGGATTCTATTTTGATGACTTCGCGTCGTTTTTGGCCCTCCTCAAACTCCATCTCCTTTAATTTGTATGAGTAGCAGGTTGGGATTGTGAATTACTAGGATCGAGTGTTTTATAGGATGTCTGATCTGAAAGCTAGCTAAAGAAATTAAACATGTGAAGAATATAGCGAGTGACGACATTAATAATTACCTAATAAGGTGAATGTTTTTGTTTTATTTGCTAGAAATATGATGAAATTTTGAGGGTACCCCTATTTATTTATTTATTTAATCAAATAGTTGTCTGAAACACATGAAAAATGTACGTACAGCTATATATATATAGCTAGTGAATAGACCAGTTCGCCATACAATTGGCTGTAACAATCTTTTTCAATCCAGCTGTTTTTAAAGCCAAAAAGAAAACATGACTCGGTTGAGCTAGTCTTTCTAGTTTCTATATATACTCTGATTTGCAGATAATTACATAGGAGTAGAACTAGTGATGGTAGATTTTTCTTGTCACTTACAAAAAAGATAGAAATTAATTACTGATAGTTAGTGGACCACCAATTTAATCAAGACTAAAACATGGATCAAATCCAACCAATTAGCTTAATATTATAGTGGAATATAATCATGCTCAAATAGATCCACGAACAACACACGAAAATTCAATTGAGTCATCCAATTTTAATTTTTTTTTTTAAAAATTACAATTGAAACAATTCAAAATTGTGTAATTAAATCAAAATTGATATGTTCTCCAAATTACCGCAGGCATGACGGTTATCCTATTAAAAAATTATTATTTTTAATTTATTATAATAATTTTAAATAAAATAATTTTTTAAAAAAAAAACAAAACAAAAATCCCATCTTCATATCTTGCCAAAGACAAAGAGGTTTTGTTCAGCGAAGGAAAGCCCTTCGTTTTCCCAAAGACGAAGATGTTTCCTTTGTCTCCAGAGAAGATGAAGGCGTGTGTTTTTTTTTTTTTTTTTTTTTTTTTTTTTTTTTTTTTTTTTTTTTTTTAAATTGTTTTAATTTTATTTTATTTAAAAAAATTATAATACATTGAAAATAATAAATTTTTGATAAAATGACTGTGTTATGTTAACATTCATCTATAAAGAGTCATTTTTCTGATGCAAGTAAGTTTGATTTCTTCTGATTTTTGAAAATATATCTGATTCATTTTGTATAGAGAATGATGGCTATATCCAACGTCGTTACTATAGAATTTCTGGCCAATTGACTAACATTTGTCATATGAAGAACATGTGATATATATATATATATATATATATATATATATATATATATATATATATAGAGAGAGAGAGAGAGAGAGAGAGAGAGAGAGAGAGAGGTGTGAAAGATGATGTTGGAAATTATAAAAATTTGTTGAAAAAATGATAATTAAAAGATGATTTTATTTTCGAATAGTAAACACGAGAAATAAACTAATAGAGTGGACAAATTGAAGAAAATAGTAATTCAAATTAGATTATTGTGTGTTCATAAAACAAACATAATTACATAAATAATCAAAATATTTTGCGGATGAAGAAAGCCATCACTACTTGTGGTCTCAACAAAGTACACATCCTCCTTTAATTTAGCAAAATAAGCAATAAAGAAAGATCCTAAAATTGTCGGCAAGTAAATTGTATATATAACTAGTTAAGTGAAATACGCTGCACAATTAAATTGCATAATGATTAAAAAAATTATAAAATTATATTGTCAAAATAAATATAAAACTATTATAGTTTTGTTAAACTATTAATTTAATTTGAAATTTATATCTATTGGTGATGGGGATATGGGACCCAGAGGTCCATTTTATTGGTATAGTATTAACCCAAGTGAGGGTGGTGATGATAGGAGATTGACCCAAGTCCTATTGGGCTAAGAAAACAAGGGGGTGTGGTGGCCCAAAAAGAAGTGAGAAGACGTTTCCGGACAAGAACCACCGCCGGCGGGGTGACCGGCCGGACCCCCGCGGCAAGACGTGGCCGGCGGGGGCGGTGCGCCACCAGTCGTGCCGGCAGCGCCCACCGGCGCGGCCAGGGAAGGGGGGCAGATAGGTGGCACTGGAGTAAAATAGCATGGACGCGGTCAGCAGGGTTCGAACCCACGCCCTCCAACACAGTAGGCGCGCACCATTCCACCAGCCCACATCAACCATTGTTTACTGAGCCGCGGCAATAATATATAACCCCTTATATATGCGGGCAGGGCAGCCACGACCACCGGCCGGCGACTGGCCGGCGGGACCCTCAGGCCGAGGCGCGGCCAGTGGGGGCAGTGCGCCCCCCAGATGGTCAACGGCACCCCCCCCCTTCCCGAGGGGGTGCTGGGCGGGTGCGCCGAGCATGGTGGACCGGGGTGGTATGCGCGGGAGTTTTGGAAGTATGGCGAACATGCCCGCTTGCATACCGATAAATGGGGAAGTGGGGATGGATTGCATGGGACACGTGGACGCTAGAGGAGGAGGGGGGCTTGCTATAAATAGGGGTCCTGGATCTCTGGCTAAGGGCAACTCAGACACGACAAGCCCTACGGTCTAGTGGTCTTGATCTATACTTTCAACCCAACTACCTGGGTTCGATTCCTACCAGTAGCATAGTTAGCTATAGCCCACCACATGGGCCTTATTCTTTGTATTTGGGCCATCGTTCTGGGCATGTACCTCGGGCTTTGTACGCATTATTTTGGGCCTAGTGCCCTGGGTAATAAAGTCAGTACTTTCTTACCCCGTCCTATACCTGGTCCCAATAAAACCATCAATTGGTCATATTGTATTCTAAAAAATATTAAGTAATCATCAATTATATTCAGCATTCAACAATTTATACCATCAAATATATAATATATATAGTTGAATAATAAATTATTTAATTTTTTTTTGAAACTCAAAGAAATAAAAGAGAAAATATTAAAATTATTTTTAATCATCACAAAATTTGAGGTAAAAGTTTATATATACCAATACTAAAAAATTATGCAATAATATGTTAACTGCATGTATATAATGATATGTTAATTGTAATAGCTACATAATTTATTAATTGAATGTATATAATGTTAGAAATTTTAGATAAAATGACAATTTTGAGTTACTATTTTGTGGTACAAATATATGTGAGTTTCACTTTCGATTTATATCAGGTCAAAGTAGATTCGAGTTCTTCGTAGTAAGAAAAAAAATTTGATATATTATATGCTCAAAACGGTTAATAAGTGGATGAGAAATTGATTTTTTTAATGTAAACCAATTTGAGAGATGTCAAATGTTACAATGCAGGAGGGTGCATCCACCTTTAATTTAGTGAGCATCCGAAGAGTAAACTTAAGGTGCAAATGCAGCACTCACGAAGAGTACTAGGCAATTAGCACTTTGTGGTAGGTGCTAATTGTGCACCTTAATTACATAGAATAATTAAAATAGCACCGAAAGGTGCTAAGTTGTAGTACTCTTCGAAAGGTGCTAAGCAATTTGATTCTTTGACTCTTTGATTTAATTTCAAAAGGTCTGAAGAGTAAGTTTACTCTTCGGTTTGTATAGACTTTTTTATTATTCAGGAGTTTTGAAATTGGTTATTAATAGTCAGTACGTATTAATTGTACTTAATTTCATAACTATTAAATTATTTCGATAATAAGTATGACAATTTCAAACGTTATAATATGATTATTGATGACTGTGTTTATGTCCTTGATTCTATCCCATATATAGACCTATTTTGAGTGAAAGATATTTTAGTTTTATGTAATATGTGCCTTAATTCATTTGTTTATACCCTTATTGTGCATAAATTGTTGATTTGAAGACAATCGTATGCTTTTCAGGGCATTTTGAGTGAATCTCGAGTCAATGTGAGTCAAGATGAAGCGAAGGATGTGGCTAAAATGCTTCAAAGATAGCCAAAGAGTGGTACTTTCAATGGGTTTGACCACAAGAACAAAACACGGAAAAAGTGGAGTAAAAGACCAAAGAGTTGTAATTCCCGCTAAATTTGGCGACATCTTAGAATTTTGATCATAGATCATTCTAGGAATGTCCGATTCAAGTGAATCTTGCGCCATTGGAAAGAAGACTCGAAGGGCTACAACTCTTATGAAGATTTCAAAATCTAATTTGAAGGAAAAAGGGTCAAAATCAGCCTACAAACCGGACCTATGATGCAGAAGCACATTCAATGCATCGAAAATTTCCAGTAGGCGTCCTGAAGAATGAAGATCAAGACTCGACGCGTCAAATTTCCGTCCTGTGCGAAAATTGGGCTGTGTATAAATTCCTATTATGCCCTTATTTGGCTCCCGCTATAAAAGGCCCATCTTCCTCAAACCCTAGGGCCTAAGCTGCGTTTTTGGAGACAAAGAGAGAGAGATATCAAGAGCCACAAGTCACATTGGAAGAAGGAGGAAAAACTAGGAAGATTCGGGAGAATATTTTTTCCTTTTCTTTTACTTTCTTTGTTTCTTGTAGGCGCTTTTATATTATTGAAATGAATGCTATTCTAGCCATGAGTGGCTAAAACAACTTTGGGATTTTTGGGTGAAAGTGTTTATGAACCTATGTGCCTAGTTCTTAAATTTATTAATATATTTACATTTGGGTTTTATAGCTTGTGTTGCAATTGTGTTCTATCTTGTTGATGCTAGTAATTAAGGCCCCAAATTACTCGTTTCAATGCTATTTTTATGTCTTAATTGGGAGTTAGCGCATATTTTAGAGCACTCACAATTGCACTTAACTATTGCAGATTAGGAGATGGCATTTTAGTTAAAGATTTATCTTGAATGTTTGTTCTTGAATTGTTAGAGCGTTTATATCATGGGAATGAATATTTATTCACATTATTTTAGGTTGAAATTACGGGAGTAATTCATTCCCTTGTATGCATTCTCACACTTGTTTGAACCTAAATTAGATATTGCACTTTAGAGAAGCTAAGAAATGCACAAAATACAATTACGTGTGCAAGATACTTCTCGAGTCTTGCACGAAAGTGTGTACCCGTGTATGACAATTACTGGAGACAACTACAAACACATATAATTATATAATTTATATAATATATATATTTGCAAATATTTTTATTAAAAATAATATTAGTATTCTCAATAATCAATTACCTTATGCTATACTCTTCAATCAAAAGGATTTATTATCAGCACCACATGTTATGATCGATGACAACCATTTGCACAGTATGTAGATCATCCAACCTAAAACCATGCATATATTAACTAGCTAGGAATGTACACCTTATACTAAAATTATGAACTTAAGTAGTAGAGTTGATGAATGCAGCAGCAATTCTGTTTCTGATTTCCTCTGGATTAGCTCCCACAATCTTATCCACTACCTCAACTCCATCCCTCATAAACATGAAGGTTGGCATGGCTTTGATTTCCATTTCAGCCGCTACCTCCTAATCACCAGTAATTAATTAAATTAACACAAACATAACTATTAATATATCCTTATTATATAACAGAAATATCCCTCCTTATATATATTTTTTTAATTAATTACGTTTCATTTCATATACTGAGATAAAGAAACAAATTTTCCATCAATACATCCTCTATTTGAACCGTCATATTGAGTAAGACTAGACTAAATATGAATCAATAAACATAAGTACATATAATATATATATATATATATATAATATACCTTGACTTCATCTACATCCACCGACAGAAAAAGGATGTTTTGGTAGCTGAAGGCCAGTTTTGCTATAACAGGAGTCATGGCTACTGATGGTATGCACCAAGAAGCTGTAAAATGTATCACAATCTGCACTCAAAATTAGGTAAATTTAATAAAACTTGAAGTCACGAAGACTTAAATTTAGGAGTAATTAAGGAAAACTTATTACGATTTTCAAAAAAAAAAAAGGAAAACTTATTACGTTTTCAAAAAAAAAAAAAAAAAGGAAGACTTACTGAACGGGCTTGATTTTTGGCATGATACATAAAGATATCCCAGGTTTGTTTGGAATCTATTTTGATGACTTTGCAGCGTTTTTGGCCCTCTTCAAATGCCATCTGATCTGATCTCTTTTAATTTGTATGAATGGCAGATTATTGTTAATTACTCATAGTACGTTTAGAGTGTTTTATATATAGGATGTGTGGAAGGAAAACATACATGTGAAGAATGAGTGACAACATTAATTAGGCAGGGCCCTCTTTAAAGAAATCTTGATATATAAATAATAAGTTAATAACCAATAATGAAGATGTATATTATATTTTCGTTTTCTTAAGGTTAATATTTTTCTTAATTAAACACGTATCAATTAAATTAAACATACAGCGCAGCTTGAATATAATGTACTATACGTGAATTGAATAGACCAGTTCGTCGTGCAAGTTGCTGTAACAATCATACTCAATCCTTTTCAATCCAACTGTTTTTAAAGTCAAAAGGGAAACCACAGCCAAAGAAAAACAACTCTAAAAGATTAAATTTAATTAATTAATAAATCATATAGCATTATAATAATTTAATGTGGGGTATTGTATGCTGTGAAAAACCATTTACTTCGCTTGTAAAATCAAGTACATATCATCTTTTTCACCTACCAACTTTCATGGTTTAATGGAATTCCTTCAAGTTGTAAGAAAAGGATTATGCATGTGTATGTATACTTTTATTATATGATTATATATTTTTTCTATCATGAGGAGGGTTGAGTCTTGAAACCCAAGCACCCGATCACTGGCTCCCAAGGAGAATGTATCCAAGCCTTCCATTTATATTGATCTTATGGACCTAGTGTTTTGGTTTAATTTAATATTTTTAAAATTTTTAAAAATAGCTATAATTGAGATGAATTATAGTTTTGTCTCCAAGTTAGTTATGATAAGATCATAACCATTGGTTTGTCAAGATGAAGCGTCAGGATATGTCCACACTTTCTACAGGGAGGTGTTCACACCTGAACCCTCCCTATATATAATAGACTACATATATTGTAATTTGTAAAGGATCATGGTCCGCAAATTTTCACCATGTTATATGCAACATATGATTCATAGATTCTTTTTTAAGCGTTGGGATCCGTTAATTCATGGTAACTACTAAATTAAAAGTGTTTATTGTCACTTTAGATAATTAATAATAAAGTTAATTCCAGCAATGTTCTACCGACTTTTGTGATTTTTCAAATTTAGTCATCACCTTTTAATTTGGACAAAATAGACACTTGACTATCAGATTGTTTCACCATTGGTCCTTCCGTTAACCATCAGTTAGATAGGTATTAAGTGAAGGGCTAAAAGAGTCATTTCCTCTGATTGCTTTCTTCTTCCTGATGTTGGTGAGTAACTAGTTGATACATATACTCACCAACATCAGGAAGAAGAAAGCAAACAAAGGAAATGGCCCTTTTAGCCCTTCACTTAACGCCTATCCAACTGATATTTAACAGAAGGACCAATGATGGAACAAATCTGATAGTCAATGGTCTATTTTGTTCAAATTAAAATACAATAATCAATTTTGGAAAATCAAAATAGTCGGACGACCATTGCTGGAATTAACTCATTAATAATATTATTCTTTCATTTTATAATCTTACTCCCTATGATGTCTCTCTAATCTCTCTTAGATTCACTTTTTCCTGCCCAATCTAGATTAGTTCTTCCCTTTTTGTTTTTGAATATTAATTTAAAAATGATCACTTTCAAAGTAGTATTTATTTGCATGATACAAAAAATTATATCAACTGATATAAGAGATCGTATCAATTGATATTTTCATTCATAAAACGGTGTAGTCCTAGCCCTTAGTTCTGTCGTGGGGACTAAGAGGGCGGTTAATAAATTGTTGAACGGCCACACTTAATGCAGCCCAACATGATCTGATCTGCTATCACAATTGCTTTCCTTTGACAGTCATATGCAGGTGAATGTTGCGTCAGTTGATCGATAATATGTGTGCAGCATAATGCATATATGCCATATGTTTGGAGGCCAGCATTACCATTTAATTGGTGGATATTTAGTTAGAAGGAAGAAATTAAAGAAAAAAGAATTGTAATTCTGTTTTTTTTTTAAAGGTGAAAATAAAGTAGAATTTCAAATCACATTGTTTGGTAGGGAGGAATAGAATGATTATGGATGAAAAGAGGAAAGAGGTGATGTAAAGACTAAAATGTCCTTGTGTAATAATAATAATAATAATAATAATAATAATAATAATAATAATAATAATAATCTAAAAACAAAATAAGTCTCAATCAAAGTTATATCTCACATTTATGTCCATGTTTTTAATGCTAATCATTTTGTACATTTATGCTTTTAGAGTTGTACTATATAAATTTTTGGACAAAAATACCCCTACCGTTATAACTTCCGTTATCTTTTCCATTATTGTTACCATGTACATGCATCCACCATATATTTTTTTATATTCTTTAATAATAATAATATTTGTAGACATTATATATTGGATTATTGTAATAAATAAATTTGATTCATATAGATTTTAATTAGTAGGGATTTGTTAGTTATTTTAAAAGATATAAATATTGGGCATATATTTTTGCGCATCGCGCATAGAAAAGACTAGTAATAACTAATAATAATAATGGGCAAATATAATAGGTCAATTTCATATTTTTCCTTTCCATTATTAATGGGGGTAGGCTATGAATTCTAATTCCCTCCAACTAAACAATGAAGTCATGGAGTTTTGCATGTCAAAGAATTAGGTTGTAGATGAATTACAACTACAACCTACCAAATAGGTCGATGACTTCCACCGGATACTGCAACGTATGTGAAAAATAACAAATGAATTTCGTCCAATTACCTTAAAGCCTTGTTCCAGCAGTAGTGTGGGTCAGGGTTCGAGTCTCATTGGTACCTATAGTCATTGGGAGAACTTGACTAATCAAAGGTGATGAAGACTCATTGTGCGTAGAGTGTACAGACAATGGGTGGGAACTTGAGAACTGATAGAGTGACTCGCGATTTATCTGCTCTAGTGGTAGTTGGGATTTGGGAATGCAGGAGTTCTAGGGGCTAAGTTAAAACAAAGTTGCACATCGAAAATAAATATTAATTATTGTACCTCACTTTTCTTATATTGTCTAGGAGAATATTCACTAACAATTTTTATGGGTTTACCAACTAAAAGGGTGAAATGCATAACGCCTAATAGTTGTTTTCCTTATAGTTGAATAGTTAATCTATATGACCATTTTTCGATCATATGAAGAACATGTGGAATTTACAAGTAAAAGTTGGGGTGTAAGTGCGTGCCTTTAATTTGTTTTTTTCCATTCAAAAGTCCAAATGCAAAACCATGGATTGGGCAACTAAGTCGAGAAATGCGAACTCCGGCCTGATTGGCTCAATCACCCTTCAAACCCTTACCAAAAAGCCATTCTAAAGCTTCAAAAAGCAAAATACCAAAAGATCTCCAAGTTTAGTAAACAATGCTTAACTTTACAAACAATCTCTACTTTTAAAGGCTTTCCGTAATCAACGTTTTTGTAAACTTAGTTGCGCACAGCTGTATCTGTACCTATAAACATTAGTCAAACTACAAATATACAATGTGTTTGCCTAATCTTATTTTACACGAATGTCCTTAAATGGAAAATTTTAAAGATCAGGTTTAGTTCACTGAATGTGAAATTATTTTGGGTATTAGGATTGCTTTCTAATAGTAACATGAGTTTATGAGGATCTAAGATTACTTTATGTGTTCAGTTCATAAATTATTTTTTAGAAAATACTTTTTATGTTTCCAAATCGACCATAAATGCACAAATAAAGTTAAAAAATTATTAGAATTGATTTGTTTTTTTTTTTTTTTAAAGATTGAAACTTAAGAGATGATGATTTAAATTTTGAATGTTAAAGGCCTTGTGGCCGAGCTAGCTGTGGCCCCTGAACCCGAGTGCCACAACTGGAAATTATGGATTTTCCGATCACCTGAAAGTGATCTTAAATCAAGTTGAAAGTAAAAAGTGGTTGAAACTAGCAATAAAGGTTTTTCCGGATACCAAAAGTGGTCGGAACAAGGCTTTCAACTTGATTTACGATCACTTTCAAGTGGTCGAAAATTTCATAATTTCCAGCAGTGTGTGGGCATTGACTCTTTGTGCTTCAGTAGGTTGAGAAAGTATAAAAATATGTTGGAACAAATGCTACATTGTAATAGAGTTAATAACATTTAAAAAAATTTGCAAAAAAAAAAAAAAAAAAAAAAACTTTATAAATAGTGGGAAAAGAAAATAGTAATTCAAATTAATAAATTATTGTTCCTGCTTGAATGTAAACAAACATAAATCGTTAGTATATATTTTGTGGATCTAGTAGTGGTCTCTACAAAGTACACATCCTCCTTTAGCAAAATAAGCAAATCAATAAAATATTAAATAGATAAATAAAAATAAAAGGTCTTAAACTTGTCGGCAAGTAACGTATATAAACTAGCTTCAATTCATTTATATTTTAAAAAATTTAAAGCACAGACAACTTAATCTACAATAAAAATAAAGTAGAATTCACTACGAAAAGGCAATACGCGCGGGAAATTTAATTTAGATTGTATTATGCACATAATAATATATTAAAATAACTTTTCAAAAAAAAAAAAAAAAACTAAAATAAGGCTCAAATGAGCCGTATTGGCACGTACATATATTTTTTTTTTGAGCAAAGTTTTGGCATAATTAATTGGATATTGGCAAAGTGAAAATATAATTATTTTAAAAAATAAAATAACAACATTATAGCTGGTATTTGTGTGGATGTTGCTAGATATTGCGGAGTATTAGCTTGGTTGTTCTACTATATGTATTCGGTGTAAGTATTTTTCCTAATATAATATATTATAATATATTGTATTAATTAAGTGGTTGTGGTGCAAGTGGAAGATTAAGTCAGTTGGTGGCTTAATCTGTTAGGCAACTCAGGATATTCAGTTAAGCTTTAACTGAATATCTGCCTACGTTGATGGCATGTAGGCTTCTAAGTAAAACAGTTCTCCCACAGCTCCCGTGTTCAGAATACACGCACCAGGTATTCGGGAGAGAAGTGGTAGACAAAACATTAACCTTTATTCTGCAGGTTTACCATCTCGTGGCAATACCAACGACTATGGCTGGGGATATTCGGGCGATCCTAAAGCTTCCGCTGTAACGAGGCAGGTTACTCGTTTACTACAGTTTATGTTAGTCTTAATATTATTATCTAACATTCGGAATTCTTATTTTCTGAATTTTACTTTGATATGACGAATACTAATATGTTATTGTTTCATGTAGGTCCTATCACGAATGTTTATGTCAAGATTTTGAATGTAAAAGTAAAAATAAAAAATAAAGAATGGATGTATACATAATTTCTTTTTTCTATATAATTGAAGCCGTGAGGGTGACATGCGAAGCCTAGGAATGGGTTAGGTACCCACCTATGTGCATTAGGAGGCTAGATTCAAGGTCGGTGGCAGTGAGCTTTCTTTGAATTTGCATGGAAAAAATTATATTATAAGATTAGCCTTGTTTCTATACACAATATTCATTCATTATTATTTGACAATATAATATATATTCTTCATATAAAAAAAATTGACGTACACATAAACAATGTATTTAAAATAAATACATATTTGTTATTGATTTATAATTTTAATTAAGATTAAAACTTATGTTTTAAATTTATGCATGCATGGATGATATTTTTCCCCTCAAACTGGTTTGTTAGGTAAGTAGGAGGCCAGGGAAGTTTACATACCTTCCTTTGATTGTAAGAGACAGGTGTAGGGCCCAAAGGAAACCTCCCCCGCTAAGTAAAAGTATTCAAGGCTGGAATTTGTGAGACCCACAGCCGCCGTTGAATTAGCAATATGTATATGTGAGTGCTTGTTGGGGAAATTTCTATGTATCTTAACCTACCTTCTTGTTGTTCGCACTAGCTTAGCTTAATAGTTCACTAAACAGTACTTAAAAGAAGATGTCAAGATTTGAACTTTAGTGATGATAATATTAGGATAATGTTTAAAGTGGATAGATTTTTTGGTATTTGGTCATCTCTGTTGAGCGGACCAACATTTGACTATATCTGTGAAACTATTGTGTCATCGTGATTTACATCATCCCAAATCCTCTGTTTGAAGAAGATATGAGGAAAAAAAAAATTATTAACCCAATGTGATTATGACCAAACCAGCATTAAAGTCGCTATTCCACCTTAATGATTGAGCTGGATTAAAAAAAATATTAATTAATATGAAATATCATTATATTATAGTGTGTCCCAACAGGTCACCCTAGCTAGTTGAACCTACCACACAATATACTTTAGTCACTATATAAATATAGTGGTAATACCTCCTACTCTTTCTCATACGAAAATCACAACAAATTAAATAACTTCTCTTTCGTTTTTCTCTCTAAAAGTCTAACCCTCTCTCAAATATTTCACTTCCAACAGAGAATTATACTATACAGAGATCAGAGATGGAGCCAAACAATTTGCCAATCATAGCGAAGAAGTTTTGGAGCATTGTGAGGGCGGCGCTTTTCATGTTGAAGCAAGGTATATGCAAGAGGAAGCTTATGCTTGATCTCAATCTAATGCTGAAGCGCGGCAAGATCGCCGGAAAAGCCGCCATCCACAGCCTCATGTTCCACCGCGGCAACCACCACTTGTCCGTCTTCGCAGCCGTGGCCGCCCAACGCCGCTCTTCCTACCCCGACCCGCCTAACGAGTACGAGTTCAGCTGCAGCAACAGCCCCGCGTACAGGAAGAGCAAGCACTCATGCGCTCACGCGCCGCCCACCGGCAACGACCGCGTCGTCACGGTGGACTCGTTCATGAAGGCCATGGAGATGCACATGTTGCAGAGCGAACCGGCGTCCCCTGCGTTGCCGGGATTCGGGAGGACTCCGCTAGCCAGGCAGCTCAGGGTGACGGACTCGCCCTTCCCGGCGGTGGGAGACGCGGAGGCGGACTGCCACGTGGACGAGGCGGCGGAGGAGTTCATTTCCAGGTTCTACAAAGATTTGAGGCTGCAAAGTAATTTGTAGAAGGAATCTTTAGCGAGAGAGTGAGAAGCTAGCTAGCAAAGATCTATCGATGATAAATTTGTTACGTGGATTGGATTTGAATTGCATGCAATAATACGGGTCGGGTCATCGGTGGGTTGTGCCTGTTTTTTTTCCCAGTAATGGTGAAGAATGGGAGCTGTTAACAGTGTACCTTAATACTATATATTTTCAACGGCAGAGCTTGAAATAAAGTTAAGTGACCAGGCCATTAAATTCAAGCAACTCAATTCTTTCGAAACCTCTCTTTCTATCTTACAAAACCTTGCTTCTTTTCTGGACGTTTCATCATCTGGTGGCCGCCGGCCTCTGCCCGACCGCGGCTAAGAAACGATGCTCCGTCAAAAGATCTAAAACTTAAGGATTCCTCAAGATCTAGATAAAGAAGTAGTTTGATTCCTGTGGATCCATAAAGTAAAGTTCAAGAGGTGTACTGCTGCTTCTCTTTTCTTTTGTGTTCTGCTTCTTTCAGTGTTTTTCTCTAGTTTGTGTGACGAGTTTGTTTTCCTCTCGTTTCTTTTGGCCAGTTCTTTTCTTCTGAAACATATAAGTTGGTCGTGGCGTATGTGAACTTCATCCTCGGTGACAAAGATGACAATGTAAAAGAGCTTCTGCATCTCAACTAGATGGATAACTACAGATGGAAAATATATACTCAAGTGGTGTGCAAGACTTTTCAACCAAAGTTAGTCTTGACTACGTTTGATCAATTCTTCAATGATATTAAAGAAGCATTAAATTTATCTAATGAATTCAGCTTCAAATTTGTGAAATAGTCTGCGATTCAAGTTCTCTGTAGCATGGTTAAGGAAGTTGTTTCTATGTCTGATTGTAAGGATTGGTATACTGTTTCATCGATCCTATTTGTAATCGCTTCAACTTATGATTAAATGAATGAGCTTCTTTATTTTCAAAAATAAAATAAAATAAAATTCAAGCAACTCGATAAAAAATCATAAATTATACTCCCTCTATTCCATTTTATCTATCCAGTTTATTATTTATTAGTCAAACCAACTCTTTGCTAATTTTCTTTAGTATTTTAAAACTATTTTTAAATTTAATTTTTAGTGTTTAATAGTACTTTTAGTGTAGTTTGTAAATATATAAATTTTATATACTAATATTAAACTTAACATTATGAAAAATTGAATTAAAAATAACTTTAGTCAAGCCCGTTAATAGAACCAGACACATAAAATAGGATGGATGGAGTACATTATAGTATTATACCAATCATTAGGCATGGACTAGGTCTTCATCAGAAACTGGACTTTGAGCCAACGCAAGATCGTCAGCGATGGACCTCATATCATTGAGATATTCAGTAACAGACCGAGCACCTCTCGGATTTTTTGTTAGCTTTGACTTGAGTGAAATAATTCGACCTCGAGAGGCACTAGTGTAACTAGCGACAAGTCGTTGCCATGCGTCGTGGGCCGTTGCAGCTGAAGAAATAAGCGGTTGTATCGTAATTTGGTCTTGGCAATACCAAATTAAATGGCATGGGTTCCTGTTGGTGTGAGCAGTGTTTGTGAACTTGGTTGGTTCTTCAACAGACCCATCAATGTAGCCAAATAAATTATAGCCAATAAGAGTTGATTGGACTTGACGTCTCCAAACAGGAAAGTTTGTGGAACTGAATTTGATGGGAAAGTGAGCAGGGGCATTTAGTTGGATGATTTCAGTAATGGCTGTACCAGGTGATGAAGCAATAAGCGATAAGCGTTGCAAGAGTGATGGTAGCCCGTGATAATAGAATAAAGGAAAGAAAGGAAAAAAAAAACGTTGTTGGAGATTTAGGCTCTTGATATCATGTAGAGATTATATAAAACTCATATATTGATGAATAAAATGAACATAGTATAAATAGAGACTAGAGTATAGATGAGGAGAAGTAGGAGGAAGTTACAACAATCATAAACTATGGGAATACAAATAGGAAAGATATATTAGAAATTCTCAACCAATGCATGTAGTCTTGACAAGGCACACAGACCGATCGATTGCAAGAAAATTTTGTTACTATACTTTGTGGTGACTTTTAATTTGTTGAAGTATTGAGGGAGACGTATTTAACTCATCTATTTATTACGAAAGAAAAATAAAAGCAACTCTGCCCTTGACATTGTTACATGTACAAATTACTCGTTTATAAGAGCATATATATAATCCTCAAATTCTTATTTGTATCACTTCGATCTACTTAAATAACTAGAGGGAATACAAGCTAATAAGGTGATGTGGTTCTTGAATACAATGTAGTTGATTGAATTAAAGACAAAATGCATGGAGTAGCAAGTAGTGAAGTAGTCTAGCTTAAGGTATAGTACACGCAAATAATTACAAAGAATGCATGTGAAGTTGCAACGTTATTGCCTTTGTTTTTCATGTTGATGAATGACCTCGTAACCAACGGATGCTGGTCGGCGCATATTGGACAAACATTTTTCATATGAAGAACATGTGGACTTTCCAAGCAAAAGCTGCAATAATGTTATTGCCTTTGTTTTTCCATACCCAATCCCATTCAAGTCCAAATGCAAAGCGATTTATTGGGCAATTAAGTCGAGCAACGTGATCATATCATTGGCTTAATGTCCTAGAAAAGCTCAGACCAAAAAGCCATTATAAAGCTTCAAAAAGGGCAAGAAATCAAAAAAGCAAAATAACAAAAGATCTCCAAGTTTAATTAGTAAATAACACATTTACCACATGCTTTGCTTTTGTTAACACTTGGACTAACTGTATACATAAAATATAAGCTCACTTTTAAAAGTAGACAGTAGACTCTACTCTCATATCATCATATTTATAATTCATTAATTACTATTTTTTTACATCATATCATTGTAATTTCAGTTTATACATTTTGTTGGTCTCGGGCAAGTAAAAGTCTAGAGGGATGGAGGGGTTGAATATATTTTATAAATTTTTCATTTTGAAAGATAAGTACACTTAGTGCACATAAGAATTCTTGGACTTGGCAAGTTTAATTGTAAGAAATAAGATTGTAGCTGGTTGGATTTGAGCATGTAAGTGTTTGTGTGTGTTATGGATTGCCTAACAAATAAAGTATTAGAGAAAAATATAGAGAAAGAATTGTATATTAGTTCGGAAAAATCTCCTACTCCATTATTCTCCTATACACAAGGAGGAGTTTACTAAGTATTTGATACAAAAGATAAAGTGATAGATTTTACGCAAAACTTGATCACAAATTAAAGTTGTTTTACAAATGGAGCTACGCTACTTGTTCTTCACTATCTTGCCACTTCTCTCGACACCAAAGTTTTATTGAGTGGAAAGTCTTTCAACATTGCTACGGAGTTTTTGTTTTTGTTTTTGTCATTTAAAGATAGGTATGTTGTACACTTGATTCTAAATGATTCAAAGAAGCTTGAGTGCTTGATGGTTTCTGTGTAAGTATAGTTCTCTCTCACACGAATAGTTGGATTTTTAATTTCAAAATATTGTCAAAAGTCAAATTTTGATTATATATTGAAATTGATTCGTTTCATTTTTAATTTAAAATATATTAAATGTACTCAAATATAATAAGTTTTGACAAAGTAAGACATTTTGGGTATTTTTTTAAAACTGATTTTTTTTAATTGAGTGCTAAAAATTGAACAAAACAAAGTTTAGAACAAGAAAAGAAATTACTACTATACTCAAGGGAGCAAAGTGAAATAAACTCTTTGATTAATTAACTAACACTAATTAATTCACGTTCAAGTTTTGCTGATTTTTATTTCAATTCTTTAAACCAGAAATCTAGGCTTCCTTCTAAGTCTTGAGGACAAAGGGAACAAACTCGGCGCTCAGGGAAAGAGCCTATGTCCACTGTCGCAAAAACAGTTGTTTCTTCTCCCTGAGCGGCGATAATTCAAGATGCAGTCAATGCTTTTGCTTCAGAAGGGCAACCTAGAGAAGTAGAAAGGTTTATGGAATTTATCCCTTTGTGAAGAACATTCAACTTCCTTGCACACCAAACATTGCAGTGGAGAAAAAGGAAACTTCTGTCTTCCAGTCATTTGATGAGTACATGTACTCATTGATTCAGGAAAGAATGCACCACGTTTAGAAGTTATATGGAGCAAGAGAAAACCTCCATCTGAACAGGACAGTGTGGTCTGCAAGGGAAATATTGAATCATTTGTGCTTGGAAAATACATTGCTGCTCTTGCTAGAGAAACACCGGATAATCCTTCTGGATCAGGAAATGAATATTGCTGAGAGTTGTGAGATTCTTAGAGCTCTTCCAATGCAAGAATATGGAAGGTCAAGATCAAATCTTCCAGTGTACTTGGTGGAATGTACTATCCAGACGGTGATAAGATTTTGAAATCTGATAGGCTAAGCCCTTCATTAATTTTGTATGACTCACTTAAGTACTCCCTCATGTCAACACAAGTTGCTGCTCGATCCAGAAAGACTTCATTGGCATCAAACTGCACCCTTGGTTCGCTGTATAAACAACTCAAGTCTTCAAATGGTTTTATATTGTCTTGAATTTTAAAATTTTTTAATTAAAAAATGTCCTGTGTATTATTTAATAATCTCTCTTCATAATTGGTTAAATTATTTAATTATGGAAAATTAAGGAATAATTAATGATGGTAATAGAAATCCTAGAAGAATATAGAATTGAAGAATATTTAATTATTGTTACATTATTATTGTGACTCAC